TAAGCAGATCTCACCTCAGCATCACGCTTGGATTTAGAAGCTGCTGGAAATAAAGAGGACAAAAATAAATCAAAACACTGGCTGTGTATGAAGACAAACTTAACACATTAACACTTGCTAAAAGTTTTAAAATGCCATTTATTTTGTGATAACAAAGCTGATATAATTAACACTGCAAAGGGTTTAAAGTGCATTTAATTTCTGGTACTAGGGCTGGGCACCAGAGACATTTATTTCTTTTCTCATATCATACAATATCAATATTTTATTATAATTAATAGGAAAGAAAGTGTTCTTTACAGAAATAACTTTTACTTTTCCTGGAACTTGTGTTTTATGATTAAATACACTACACATTTATATATATATATATATATATATATATATATATATATATATATATATATATATATATATATATATATAAATAATTAAGCTAATTATTAAAACCTTGATATTATCAAGCTTTCTAAATGCTATATAATGAAAATGGATCTCATCTACTACAAAACATTTCCAGTTACATGATCAGTTAAGATGCTGCATAACAATACTATAAACTACAATCCTTCGATAATATTATTGTTAGTTCATTATATGACAACACAATATCTCTGTAGTTATATATTTAAGCTAAATCAAACTTTTCTTTTGGTGGGTTGTAGTGAAGACAGTTGGTTTCAGCATATCTGAGTGTAGTTTTTTCCTAACTAAAACAGTTAAAAGCTAGAGAACTGTCTATCAGAACAGCTGGAGATGAAGTTTGTATATATCGAGATGGCAACAAATATGCTGAATGCTGATACACAAAGCATGCAGACCTACCAGCAACATACACTGACTGTCTTTTGTCATGTTTATTTCTGCTGTGTAATAGGTTTCAAATAAACTGTACAGTGCTTATGATCACTGATCAAAATTTTACAACAGTCTCAATATAATCTATAATGTATGTGTGATAAACACCCATACATAGAAACACAACATCAATTTTGCTACATAGAAATTTAAATATATATATATATAGAATTTGTATTATATACATGTGCTTATTACACAGTATGTAAACATAAATAAACATTTTCTCAAATATATGCATACATATTTGTATTTTTATATACACAATATATATGATATGTATACAGATATGCACAGTAACCACATATACTGTAAAAAGCAACCTTTTATTTTGAATTATTTTAATTAAACTGCCTAGCACTATTAAAAATCAGACAGACAGAAAACATTATTTAATCGTAATGTACCCTATAATGTTGTAGACAGAAGAGAAACATTTACCCTTAGACTGAGATCCATCATCTGGCTCCTTGTTTTGGGGTTCCTTCCCCTTTTCAACTTGCACCTCTTCAGATTTTTTAGGTGGCACAGCCATGATTTTGGGAAAAACGCCCGTCTCTGCTGAAGTCTTTTTCTTGACACTGAGGATAATGAAAGTGATGACAGAACAACAAAAATCTAAATAATTTACCCAAATTTAACTCAACTGTAAGAAATAAAAAAAAGTATAAAGGGATAACTCACAGATTATGCTTAAAGTCCAGTAAGAGAAGCACTCCAGCGAAACTACTACTTGGATCCTTTTTCAGAGGACAGTAATCTAGACCCTCATCCTGTGCGTTCATAAGAGAGGCTGTCAGTTAGTCTCAGATTGAATGAATTCTAATGAGTTACTGAGTACAGTCAGTAATAGAATCTCTTAGATTACACATTTATGGTAGCGTTACATGACTACTTTTACATTTAGATTACTTTTGTGCTTACCCTTACTTGGTGTCATATACAGTTAGAGTTATTAGTCCCCCTTTGAATTTTTTTTTATTTATTTTTTTTATATATTTTCCAAATGATGTTTAAAAGAGAAACAAAATGTTCACAGTATGTCTGATAATATTTTTTCTTGTGGGAAAAAAAAAGTCTCATTTGTTTTATTTCGATTAGAATGAAAGCAGTTTTTAATAAAAAAATTTTTAAAATTTAGAACAAAATTATTAGCTCCTTTAAGCCATATTTGTTTTTGATAGTCGACAGAACAAACCATCATTATACAATAACTTGCTTAATTACCCTAACCTGCCTAGTTAACCTAATTACCCTAGTTAAGGCTTTAAATGTCATGTTAAGCTGTATAGAAGTGTCTTGAAAATTATCTAGTAAAATATTATTTACTGTCATCATGGCAAAGATAAAATAAATCAGTCATTAGAAATGAGTTATTAAAACTATTAAATGTGTTGAAAAAAATCTTCTCTTCGTTAAACAGATATTAGGGAGAAAAATTCAACAGGTGGAGCTGCTCTTCAGTGGATCAGCCTTTAACAGTGACTACTTAATCCAAATTAAACTTCAACACTGACATTTATGCTAAACTCAATCAGTTTTGGTTTGACCAGAACTACACCAGCACATTCCAAAATCTGATTTATTGTTATGGCTTTTCATTGTTGCTTTTGCATCTAATTTAAGCTGCCTTGACACAGTATACATTGTTAAAAAATTATATAGAAAAAAAGATGAATTGAACTAAATTGTTGTAGTATGATAATCTTGTACTATTATAAAATATATAAAAATATAAAAAGAAAAACATATACTTAATTCATCATCACAATTAAGAGGCACAGTGTTGGCTGATAGTACACAAAGAAAATCACAACTTTCTCAGAAATAAAGGTAGTATATGCGAGCTGTCACTGGGGTGGTACCTTTTCAAATGGTACAAATTTGTACCTAAAAGGTTCATATTGTTAACTCAAGGGTACATATAAGTAACTAAATAGTACAAAAGTGTTTCTCTTAAAATTTTTAGGTACTAATATATGCTTTTGGGATACCAATATGTACCCTTTATGTACAAACGTGTACCTTTTGAAAAGGTACCAACCCAGTGACATCTTATTTCTGAGAGTGTATAATTTTAAAACATTTACTTTAAGTAAAGTTAATTTTGAAAATAGCAGCACTACAAAAAAACAAACAAACAACAACATTAGAAAACAGAAATCAAAATTTTATCTGAAAACTCTCAAAATCAATGTATTATAATCCTTCTCTGCCAAAAACACTGGAGGAACCAATCGGAAGATTTATTGTGGGGGGAAACATAAATTGTTAAAAAAAAGACTATTGATGTAGCCAATCACAGTAAAACCATGAAACAATTTCAGGAAAACTACATAAAATTTAGACAGTTTGCAAAACTAAGCCAAGATGGGAGATCTTATTCCCCCAAGTATCATACATTTTATGCACACTTACGTTTTTAGTCACCGATGCATATTTTTTTTTTTTCCCCACAAATAAACTCCACCAACAGCAATTGCCATTATATTTATAGTATATTTCACATTACACTGTCATAAATCATACAGTACTGCTATAAAATCTTTAAAGGTTCGCACAATAATGAAAATTGTCTCCACTTTCTCCTCCTCTAATTGTTATTCTGTTGAATACAAAAGAAAATGTTTTGAAGAAGAATGGAAACCTGTAACCATTGACTTTCATGGTAGATTTCTTCCTATTACGGAAGTTAATGGTCGCAGGTTTCCAGCTTTCTTCAAAAAAATCTTCTTTTGTGTATCCTCAATATGAGAAACTCATCATGGTTTGGGAACACTTGAGGCTGAGTAAACAGTGAGTCTATTTGCATTCTTGTGTGAACCAACCCTTTAACTGATGACAAAGTATCAGTAATGAATCTATACTAATAATAATAATAATGAGACAAACACAGTCACCATAAAACTCAACAATGACCCCAACTATACAAAACTAGCAGACGGACATTTAAAGGCACATACTGACCAGGTATGTAGAGAAACCATTATTGTTTACACGATCAAGGCTGAAACCAATCTGGGGGGAAAAAACAAAATGTTGAAAGGCATGTAATGAAAGCCAGTTTCTGGGTATTTTCCCTTTAGACCACAAAGATGCATTTTCAGATTCTGTCATTAGTAAATGATGTCTTAAATGTCAAGATGCTAAAGTTAATCACAAACATGAAACTTTTTTATATTTCTTATTTCAATTTTCATATTGCGTTGTTTCTATCGTATTTATATATTTCAGCGTGTGATTGATTTGACAGAGGTGAAAGTCTGACCGTGGAGCTGTCAATGTTGTCCATCTTGCCACCAGTGAAGCTGAGGTGGCTCATGTTCATACTCATGTAACCATCTTTATAAAAGCCGAAAGTGTTCAGGTGGACCCGCTGACGGATGTCATCCTGCGACAGAACAATTGATCAGAAGCTGATGAAATCAGCTTTAATAATCTGATTCACATCATTTGCATTATCTCACAACACAGCGAGTGACTGATAATCACAAGAGAGCATCTGTTTCTGCATTGAGCAGTCATGACAATACAGCGACAATACAAACGTCCTACAAAACAACCAAAGCACGCTAGACACATACCTTGAGTACAAGATGATGGATTCGACACTGACTTTCTATGACAAGCACTATAATAATCACATTAATAACTGTAAACATACACATCTTTCCGGACGCCATTTTTAAAACCGCTTCAACAAACAAGAGCAGGTCACTTTCACTATTATTTCCGGTTCACGCATTCAAATGAAGAACGACCTCTAATGGAAGAAAGGAAAAGTTGTGAAACCACGTAGTACGAACAACATAAAAGAAAACGGGTTTGTGTGGTGAACTTGGGTTTGTGTACCTGCGTATAATGTATAGACTGTAAAATGTGTCTTTGTTTTTGTCTTCCAAAGGGTAAAACAAAGAAAAGTTTCGTTCATACCAAATTAAAACCGTCTCACAAATATATAAAAATGTTTTTTTTTTCAAATATTTATTTTTGTTTTCGTCACATTCCGTTTTTACACACAAAATTAAAATGCGATATGAATAAACAGCTTTAAAAAAAATGTTGCGTGAAACTGTCGTAAAATAATATTGGAACGAACCAATCGGAAAATGTTTAAATTCTGCCGTAAAGCGCTTCGTGACAACATCACATGCTACCGGCGTCTCTGCTGTTAATGTCAATATATATGTTAACGGCTGTGAGAGTATGAAGTTATAAAGTTCATTACATTTATAACCTTAGGTAAGCCACGCGATTTTATTCTAACGTTATGGGATATTTCTTTAATGTAACTTAACCTTAGATCTCAAAATATGCTCGGTAGGGCTTGAGAGATGTCATGTAATCTGCGGAAGACTGAAGTGTACCTGCATATCAAACTGAGCCTTTAAGATCTCACTGTTAAAAGTTCTGTCGTTGAAGAATGTTTAACACGAAGCCCGAGGCTCAACTCAAAAACAAAGACCACATTCATTTGCTTCTCTGATTCCAGTGAGAGAATGAGCGGACACACTGTACTGGTACTGTACGGCAGTCAGACGGGAACAGCGCAGGACACCGCGGAGAGGATCGGCCGACAGGCGCAGAGGAGGAGGCTGAGGGTCAAGGCGGAGGCCCTGGACACTTACAATGTGGTCAGTGCCAGTTGTCCTTATACTCTACAACTGAGGTAAAGTAGACTTTATATTTGAACATTCAGACTTTCTCCTTAATTTCATTTCACAAAAGTATTCTTCGCTAATTATATAGGAAATCATATCAGCACCGCAGAGAAAGACTATCAAAGTACAACATTGTTCACAGCCAGTTTAATAGTGCTGATCTTGTTTTCAAGCCCTACTTACATGAGATTTTAGACCGAATATTAAAAGTAGTTTGGTAAACAATATAGAGACGATATATAGAAGTATTCTTTGCAAGTTATAAATATGAAAATCATATTAGCAGCCAATGATTATCAAAGCACACCATTATTTACTGTCAATTAAATTACGCTAAAGTTGTTTTAAGTGCTACTTGCATGACATTTCAGACCAAATTTTCAAAGTAACGTGGTAAACAATATAAGGTCTGGGCATGGGCCGGTATAAGACTCTGACAGTATGAAAACCAGTTTTTCAGTACTGTGATTACTGCTCTAAAATATTTTCTTTTTAAATGTCTGGGGGAAAAACAAAAATAATAATGAATTATAATGATTAAAATGAATCTTTGACTTCTGCTGCCTTCATTCGTTTTAAATACACAGATTTCATGACAATTTAAAACAGCATCTATGGATATCTTTTCTGCAGGAGATACTGTTGTTCAAAAAAAAATAAAAAACATACCTTTGTAACGGTAATACAGAAATTTTGGGTGGTTTTAAAACATTTTCCATACTGCGTTATACCTTGAAAATGGTTATCATCACATGTCTAATAAGGACCCCATCACAAGTTGTCACTAAACGAATATAAAAGCAACTTTACCTCAATCACTATCATTTATAAGACAACTTTGCATGATGTATATGTTTCCTCATCAGGCTAACCTGATTTCCGAGTCTCTGGTGGTGTTTGTCTGTGCCACCACAGGACAGGGGGACCCTCCAGACAATATGAAGGTCAGACTTAAAATTACAAAATTTATGCACAACAGGTTTAAAGTGTTAAATTCTGTAATATTTGCTGCTTATAGAAATTCTGGAGGTTTCTGTTCAGGAAGTCTTTGCCAGCTGATTCTCTTAGTCGTCTTGACTGTGCTGTGCTGGGTCTTGGAGACTCTTCGTATCCAAAGTAAGATGACTGAAACATGCACAGAGCTATCATTTTGCTTTCGTTCACACTTGTATGTTTTTAACATCAGCATCTTAACAGCAATGTATTTGGGGTAAAAGGGGAGATATCTGTAAAACAGAGGACAGGTTTTCTGAATACATATTATTATTGAAACAACACTGAAATGTTTGGTCAACTTTTAGGTTCAACTTTGTAGCTAAGAAGCTCCACAAGCGTTTGCTTCAGCTTGGTGCAAATATGCTGCTGCCTGTTGGACTGGCTGATGACCAGCATGACCTGGGGTGAGCAGAAGATGCCTACTTTGTATTCACAATTAGCAAAAATCAATTTTTCCCCTTAAAAATGTCAAATGTTTGACATGTGGAAGGGCAATCTTAAGCGTTGAAGAGGTCTTCCACATACATGATAAACTCAAGGCAATCTATAACAATTTTATTTTTCGACAAATTGGTGGCTAATTCATATCAATTCAAAACCTTTTTCTGTGTCATGGACAAAGTGTTCTTTTAATATCCGTATCAAATTAAATAAAAAAAATTGATTTTATATACACAAAAGGCACATTTAAAGTTTTATTGTTCCAAAGAACTATTTTAGAAAATGAAATGTCAAAAAGGTGAAAAATTTGTGTATTTATTTAGCATAACAGAAAAATGTATAAAATATATACGTAATCATAAAGTCTTTTATATTTTTAATGATTAAAAGCTTAATGCTGGCAAATAGATTAAATGTTGAAAGATTGACAATTAGGAAATATTTTCAGTCTTTTAATTCAAACATTTCTTGTTCTGAAAATGCAGGCCAAAATGTTTCAGTTTACAGCCTTTGGTTACACTGAATTATATTTTAGCATGAGTTTTCTATAAATCACTGTAAAAACAGTGGTTTCTCTTGACTGTATGCAGCATTGTCTGATTTGTGCATGCTTTCATATTGCACTCTTTACAGCAGATATCTCTTTTATTACTCCTCAGGCCAGATGGTGTGATTGATCCCTGGCTGCTTTCATTTTGGCAGAAAACTCTGTCTCTCTACCCTCCTCCAGCCGGCCTCGCTCCACTCCGCGAGGAAGATAAGTCAGTCTGTCTCATAATCTAACACTCATGCTTTCAAAATACTAGACAAATAATCAATATAAATATTACAGTTTTTATTTAATCCATAATTGTTTTTTTTAGACTTCCACCGCGATACATTTTCCACTTTCTATCTGAAGTCCCAAATAAACCGACTGAGCATCTCCAGACAGTGGATAATAAAAGCTCTCCCACCTCACTGCGGCCGTTTCCAGCTCCACTAGTGTTTAATCAGAGAGTCACTCATACTGCACATTTCCAGGACGTCAGACACATCGAGTTCGACATCACAGGCTCTAACATTGAGTATGAAATATTGAGAATAATATATAGATATTAAATATCACGTCACAAAGGAGTATTAAAGGTTGTGTTCATCTCTGACAGATTCAGTGCCGGGGACATTGTAATGATGAGACCCTGTAATACTGCAGAGGATGTGGAGCAGCTCTGTCAACTACTAAAACTTGACCCAGAGAGTTACTTTACACTGACCCCTACAGACAGCAGCACAGGTCACACATAACACCTAAAAATTTGCATTCTATTTTTATGTTCCAGACCATTAGAGTGCCCCATTATATTATTTTTGGTGGGATATCCTACAATAGGTTTACTTGAAACATCCAATATCATTCATTCATTTTCTTTTCGACTTCGTCGCTCTATTAATCTGGGGTCGCCACAGTGGAATGAACTGGCAACTTATCCAGTATATGTTTTATGCAGCGAATGCCCCTCCAGGTGCAACCCATCACTGGGAAACACCCACATACTCTCATTCACACACACATACACTACGGATAATTTAGCCTACCCAATTTGCCTATATGTCTTTGGAGGAAACCCACACAAACACGGGGAGAACATGCAAACTCCACACAGAAATGCCAACAGACCCAGCCGAGACCTGAACCAGCGACCTTCTTTTTGTGATGTGTAAGCGCTACCCACTGGGCCACCACATCCAACGTCACAATACCCAAATTTTCTTTCTTCTTAATATGCAGTGCAGCAAAGATTTTTTTCTCTTAGTGAAACAGGATCTGGGCTTTGCTATCCCTTTTTCCATGAATCAACTTTGCTCTGATTGGTGAGACAGCACAGTCTGCTTTGATTGGTTTATCCGCTTGCATTACGCTTATTAACATATTTAAATTTCAGTACCAGAGGTTTTCTCGCCACTTGAAAACACGGTGGTACAAACCCTAGTGATGGAGTGGGTTTTATTCATGATTTAGAGGTGCATGCAAAGTGGATTTGCTTTCACAGTCCAGAAAACTCTTAAATACACACACACACACACACACACACACACACACACACACACACACACACACACACACACACACACATATATATATATATATATATATATATATATACACACATACATAAATAAATTCACAAACACACACTATGTAACAACAAATGTACAAAAAGAATAACGGGGCACTTTAAATGCGTCAGAACATCTTTCTTTTTCCACATAAAATACCTGAAAAATTATGTTTATCTTCCTCTTTGTTGCAGAAGTTCCTGCACGTCTTCCTCAGCCCTGCTCTGTTCGTTTTCTGCTGGAACACTTCCTGGACATTTCTGCTGTCCCACGGCGTTCCTTCTTTGAGCTTCTGGCCACTTTTGCCACTGATGAACTGGAGCAGGAAAAACTCTTGGAGTTTAGCTCTGCTGCGGGTCAGGATGCTCTTCACTCCTACTGCAACAGACCTCGCCGAACAGCGATAGAGGTCAGAGATCGCTGACTGAAAAACACAACAGATTGTTGTTTAAACGGTTTTCTGTTTTCATAAGGTTGTTATCATTATATTTTAACAGGTAACACAGAAAGTATAATATATACTGCACACATTTGAGTGAGATTATGATCTCTGTCTCTGCAGAAATTCTGAGATTTGTGAGCAATGTTTTTAACCCTGATCCTTTTGTTGATCAGGTACTTACAGACTTCCCTCATACTACAGCAGAGTTGAGCATTGGCTGCTTGCTGGATCTGTTTCCAGAAATTCAGCCTCGCTCCTTCTCTATTGCTTCTTCACTTTTGGTAAATAATTTCTGGTGTTTTATTTTTAGTAATTCTGCATTTAATTCTACTTTGTGTTTGTAAAAATTGAGCAAGGGTACATTTCATTGCAAAAATGATTATTATAATGTTACAAAGAATTTCTATTTTAAATAGAGGTTGTTCTTTTGAACTTACAGCAGCAATGTTTATCAGAGAATCCTTAAAGTCACAATTTTCACAAAAATATTAAGCAGCATCATTTTCAACATTCATATATATTTGCTGAATATGAAATCAGCATATGATAATGATTTCTAAAGGAATTCCACAGGATTGACACTGATTACTTGAGTAATAAACTGCTGCAAATTTAGCTTTACCAACACAGGAATATATTATGTATTTTTTTTAAATCAACATCTTTAAAATCTTTTAATTCCACCATTTCACGCTATTACATTGTCCTGTATTGTACTGCCCCCTTCTAATGTTTTTCTTCTTTTTTAAATATTTGCCAAATTATGTTTAGCCGAGCAAATAGATTTTCACAGTATGTCTGATAATATTTTTTCTTCTGGAAAAAAATCTTATTTGTTTTATTTCAGCTAGAATAAATGCAGTTTTTTATTTTTTAAACACCATTTTAGTGACAAAATTATTAGCCCCTTTAAGTGATATTTTTTCTCAATAGTCTACAGAACAAACCATTGGTTTACAATTACTTGTCTAATTACCCTAATCTGCCTAGTTAACCTAATTAACCTAGTTAAGCCTTTAAATTTCACTTTAAGCTGTGTAGAAGTGTCTTGAAAAATATCTAGCCAAATATTATTTACTGTCATCATGGTAAAGATAAAATAAATGCATTATTAGAAATTAGTTATTAAAACTATTATGATTAAAAATGTTTTGAATAAATCTTCTCTCCATTAAGCAGAAATTGGGAAAAATTAATAATTCAGTCTAATAATTCAGGGGGACTAATAATTCTTACTTCAACTGTGTGTGTGTGTGTGTGTGTGTGTATATATATATATATACCTCCTTTATTTCTCTCTCAGGAACACCCTAATCGTATCCAGATCTTGCTTGCTGTGGTGAAGTATAAAACTATGCTCGTAAAGCCACGCAAAGGTCTCTGCTCTTCTTGGCTGGCGTCTCTGGACCCGTCTAAAGGTCTGATCAATCTGACAGAATTAACAAGTCATTTAAAAAAACAAACTACATAATAATTTAGTCAGACCAAAAAAATAGATGTGTTGCTCAAAATTGTTTACAAGTCTTCATTAATGCTTTAAATATGGTTTAGGAGATGTTTACGTACCACTGTGGGTGAAGAAAGGCAGTTTAAAATTCCCACAGGACCCAGAAAGCCCTGTGATCATGGTGGGACCAGGAACTGGAGTGGCTCCCTTCAGATCTGCCATACAGGAGAGGGTTGCTCAGGGGAAGATGGGTGAGTGAGTGATTTAAGGAATTGATATTTTAGTCATAATTTCTGATGCATCTTCCCTTAAAATAAGGGGATAGTTCACCTCAAAACATTTTTTGTGAGTACATTTACTTACACTAATGCTTCCAACCCTTTATGAGTTTCTTTGTTGCACACTAAAGATGATAACAATACATTTGGAAACCACTAGCCATTGACTTCCAAGGCTGCCCTTTTCTTCAAAATAAACATTTGTGTGTTCAACAGGAGGAGGAAACTCAAACAGGTTTGCAACAAGTAAACTTTGACAGACTGTTCACTTTCAGGTGAACTATCCTGTTAATACAGTACATATTTAATGGCATAGAGGTATTTGATAAGTAGAGACTGAACGTAGTGCTGAGTCTCAGAGCGCCTTTATATCCTACATTCTAACCAATGTTGTGGTGTGTTTCAGCTAATGTGCTATTCTTTGGCTGTCGATCTGAATCTAAAGACTTCTACTGTGGATCAGAATGGCAGGAGAAGGTGCAGGCGGGACAAATGATACTCGTCACAGCCTTTTCCAGAGATCAGGTCAGACCTGGATTATTTAGCTTTTACCTTAACCTTTTAACAGGCTTCCTGGTTGATCCTTTATCCATAGGGTATCATTAAAACAAACAAAAAACTTTCAAGAACTAAATTTAACAAAATAAATAGGTCCAAACTTTTGTTTAGAGTGCAAGTTAAAGGGATGGCTAATGACAGATGTGTCCAGTAAGGAAAACACCCAACATGTCCAGTGCTGGAAAAGCTTTGAATAAGAAAACCATGCCTAATCGTATTCTCCAGTATGTGTCACTTTTTTTAGCTGTCTGAAACATGCTGCACTTGTATTTCAAAGTGACTTTATATAATTCAATTAATCTGTGTAGTGCAGATATCGGAGAACTTTGTACATCTTATTCTTAGTTGACCTCTTTCGACAACAATTTTAACATTATATATAAAAAAATAGAAGAACACTTTTTTTGTTCTTCTCTTTTTTAGTTATTGTAAAGGATTTGTTGTGAAATGAGATATGTTTATAAATGTTTTCTCGAATATATCGCTACTGGTAGGCATCATGTGACCAATTTCTCAAATTAGAATTTAAAAAATGGGAAACATCAATTTGTGTTTGTGGATATTAATGAAGAAATTAATCAATATAATAATTGAAACATGATGTGCTCATTTGATTTTGCAGCATGTTGTTCTTTTAGAGGTTATACCTAGGGCAAGACGGAACCTGCAGACTTTTTTTGCTATTTCTTTGGAGAATTTTGTTAAAAGTCTGCGGATTTTTGAAGAATTATTTTGGGAGTATCACAACTAAAACCTTAATATGTGAAATAAAAAATAAGATCTTTTTAACTTTTATTTAATCATTAAAATGCAAATCCAATTAGATTCACTTTATATTGGTTAAACAAAGCAAGTCTCTCATATAATATCTCTACTAAAAGACAGGAAATATTACTTTACAAACTACATTGTACATAAATCAGATAAGCATTTTTACATTAGTCAATAATATTACTGTAATTAATTTAAAAACTAAATATTGATTTTCACACATTTACTCAAGTAAATAAACAGAATAATGATAAAAAATTGTCAGGCTAAAAAATTGTGGAAAATTTGCATAATTCTGCGCGCGCAGATTCTGTGTGGGTCTAGTTATACCTCATGGGATATATTGTAAACAGTTTAAATGTTTCACTTGCAGGAGGATAAAGTCTATGTTCAGCATCGTGTGAAGGAACAAGGCAAACTGTTATGGGATCTGATAGCAAAGAAGAATGCGTTCTTTTACATAGCAGGGTAAGTCTTTTGCAATTGCAACATTAATAAATGTTCAGCCTTCTCTCTTTGGTTTGTTATAGAGCAATATTTCAGTGCTGTTCATATATGAGAAGCAGGACAGAAATGAGCAGCTCTTTTTTTTTTATTTAAGGAATGCCAAGCAGATGCCAACAAGCGTATGTGACGCACTGAAAGCAGTTTTCCAGAAAGAAGGTGGCATGTCTGAAAACCAGGCACAGGAGATGCTGGATGGCATGGAGAAAAATGGACGCTTTCAAAGTGAAACCTGGTCCTGATGTCTCAATTTAAACTGCAGCCTTGATGAGCAACATAGCCTTAAGAGTGAACCTAAGTTACATGCTGATTGGATTCAACCAAGTTTGAAAGGAGAATGTCAAGCCTCAATTGTGGGGTGCTTTTGATTTATATTTATGCATACGTGTTCAATCATACATTACCAGTTATATTCTTTTTAAAAAATAAATATTGAATGAAATAGAAGATTTAAGATTTTTTTTGGTGTAATGTTGCATTGAGGCTTGTTTCTTTTATAAATCCAAATTTTAGATAAACAAATGCTATTTAAAATACATAATCAAGATAATTGTCCATTTAATGGCTATTTTTACTTAAGAACATTGAATATAATTCAATGTATCAAGTCAACAATGATAATTAAAAGTATGGTTTTAAAACAAGGATTTGGGGATTTTAGATGACTGACAGAATAAAAATATATAAATGTGTATGGGAAAAGATGAACAGTGTAATGAATAAGGTGCTGAGAAAGCACCTATTATTAAAATCAATAATGCTGTTGTACAAGGACTGCTTCAAAATATTGGTTTATTCAAGGCAAAATACAATATATGGTTCACTTGAGAGTTTTCTGTCAACAGCTGTAAATTCACACATACTAAAACATTCAAGTTTTCATAAGTTATTAAAAAGTTTTCACACAGCATTCAGTGCAACAGACATGCCTAAACTCCAATTAATCAGATATAAAACGGATAGTTTACCTCAGGATAATTTACTCGTCACAATTTTTCAAACTTGTGTCTTTCACTTCATTTAGAAGTCATTTTGAAAGGAATCCTTTTACACCATTTTACAGGCTCATTTTTAAAGTTAAACAGTTGAGTTTTACCATTTTTGAATCTAGAGTGTCTGAAAATAGTCCTCATAATGAAGCCCTACACTTGTACCACCATTTAGAATTCACAAAATATCCCAAATGTACTAGCCATGGTACTGCAGCAAAGTTCCTTGATTATTACGCCAGAATGAGAGAATAGTTCCTAGCCATATTGAACAAGAAAGCAGCAACTTCTCATTTTCTGTCAGTCTAAACTACATGATGGAATTTCAGAAGAGTCAATCTATAAATAGGAAAATTAGAAATTTTAGCAAGAAGCTAATGGTCTAATCTGATTCAATGATCTATGCTAAGCTAAGCTAAAAAAAGCTCCTGCCAGTTTCAGAGTTCAGCTGAATGGATTAAAAAAATGGTAAAACTCAACTAAAACCCTGAGCCTTTTTTTTTAAATGAGAATGTTCCTTTAATAATGTTGGTAACTGACATACTGACCATTAAATAGATTTCTCAAGTATTATTTTCATCACAAGTCAGTCATGATATGATCATGAAAAAAACAAATCATTTTTGGATGAACTATCCCTGTTCTCGGCACATCCACTGCTAAATGTGAAGCAGTGTGTGTGTGTGTGTGTGGTTTACATTTTTGTCCTGATTGTTTTTATCTTCCACTGTGATGAAACCCTGCTGAGACTAACAGAAGACTTCAAATGGGAGATCAGCTGGAGTGTAAGCAGTTCACTTCTCAGAAAAGCTAACAGTCACAATTTCTGCATTCATATTGATGACAACCACAAGCTCAGCTCCAGCTGTCATAATACAAACTTTAAAGGTTAATAAGAACCTTTCAGACTCCCATACATAAAACCCATTTTCAAGTCTTGCGCCTTCACAAAAATGACCACAATGGCAGTAACAAGTAGCTCCTGTGTGGCTTTATTGATCCTAGTTTCCCTTTCTCATAATTGGTTTCAATACAGATGGATAATAAAAGTACTTGCCGAATGGCATCAGCTATCTGAGTGCAAGTGCGTGGACCTGATAGATCTCCTCAGGGAAGTTCTTCTGCTGCTCCTCATAGATGATGCTGAGTCCAGCTCTGGCTACAAGACGGTGCAGCACATTCAGGTCCCGGCAGACGCTGCTGTCCACGTCATCAGGGATAACACCCTCATACGCAACGTTATCCTTCACCACGATCAGGCCTTCAGGACGCAGACCGCTCCGGCAGCGTCTTAGGAACTTCACTAGGTGATCGTCAGTCAAGTGACCTACAGAACAAATGGCATTATTGTGTTTGTCAAACTTATAGGGCCTGTTCCATAAAGTCTTATTAGCTGGCTACCTTACTCAAAATGAAAGGTCACTATGTGGTAAAACTTAGGAAAATATTTTTTTATGACAATTAAAACTTGAGAAAAGATTTTTTTATGACAATTATTTAATGACAGGCACAATAAATAATTAGGAAATTTTTGTTTAATAACCTTTTTAAATTTATTCACACAGATTTACAAGTATACGAGTGCCATTTTATGTTTTATTTTTTAATTAATAGAAAAAAATCATTTTATATAAAAGGTAATTATTAAGCTTAGATTTTTGAGTCTCAGTATACCTACACATTATAAACTATACAAATGTACTTGCACAAATAAAGCATGATGCTTTCCTTGTTTCCTCATGTTTTCTGTCATGGACAGCTTTTCAAATTTGCTGTATAAATATTTTTAAATGTTAAATTCCTTAAATGTTAATATTTTTTATTCATTTTAAAATCTTTGGCTGTCAAGATCCACTGGACTTAGATTCTTGGGGTGGGCTCACATTTTTCTCAAATAATTTGACCACCAATTGACCTAAACCCTTATTAAGTCTCTGGGATGAGGTGAAGTAGAACGCTGACACCTCAGGGTCAGGTATTCAGGGTGCTTCCAATATCAATACAATCTCAGACAAAACAATGTAGCTTGAGCATATTTTAGACAAACATTGGTCATAAGGAATAATTGATGACAGGCCATTAAATGCAGTGCTTCCCACAGATTTGAAATATACTTGCGGTGGTAGCTGGATTAAAACACACCTTTTACTCATGGCACATAAATAGTTAACGATATGCGACAAAAAACATCATTTGATTTAACATTATTTTTATTATTACCCGTTTTAAACTTTTTATTTTTAATAGATTACAGTTAAAAAAGACTGTTGAAATAAATGTTTAAAATTTGCTATTTCTCTTTTGAGCTATTCAGGAGCCATGTGCACCCACTGACAGGTAAAATCTACTTCTCTCTATCTTTCATTCAAGTTCGTTCAGGTTCCTTTTTTGGCATGTACAGTATTGCCAAAGCATTTTACATAAATCAAATATCAAATTAATTAAATATAAAATAGATGAGAAATAAATGACAAAAATCTCTAAAAAATTATAGTAATTACAAGACTAAAACGTGTGCAATATTTAGACAGGGCAAATGAGTGGATTACCCATTACTAATGGTGTACAATTATTCTGCTGCCAATTTAGATTCCATTTCGTCCTCTCTGAGTATTTAATATTTTTTCTGAGTCGTTTAGATTAAAGAATTAATTATTTAAAGTTTCTCTCGCTGCTGTGCACAAAAAATTAACGACAGCTTAAAATACAAATGTAAAACCAAATCTCTGACAATTTAGTAGATTTAAAAACCCTGGTCGGATGCAAAAGGATACAGGTCTCTGTGGGTAAACAGATCACGTGAAACTGTCTGTGCTGCCAGTTCCCACAAACACAGAATGAGCAGTATGAAACGGGTAAAGGAGAAAGGATTTTCCACTACTTTATCGCTCGCAGATGTTTGATGATATTGGGTGGATACAAAAAAATAAATAAATAAATAAAAAAAAGTGTAAAAGGATGATAATAATAGTATTTTAAAAAAAGTGTCACAAAACATACTTGGGCGGCCTTTAAAATACCTGGGTGGCCAGCCTAAGTAAAGACTATGTGTGGGAAACACTGAAATTAATAGAAAATAGGCATTCTTGGAGAACAAAGTATCAATTGCAACTTGAGTGCGCATTAGCTTTCTTTGATTAAGTGGGTCAGAGTCAAGTATAACCCTAAAAATACTGTTCTTACAGCTAAAGGCAAATGTTTTATTATAAACCCATCTCATTATAAACACGTTTTTTAATGAACACATTTTATTAAGCTAATCAACCAATCAGAATCAAGCATTCAACAGTCTTTTATTCTAGATTTAGTCTTACCAATCACCCACTGGATCCATATGACATCGTATCGCTCTGGCTGGGGCTGAAAGTCTTGCAGGCCACAGCAGAAGTAGTTCTCCACCCGTTTGCTCTCCTCACCCAGGTATGTACGAGCTTTATCCAGGAATTCCTGAGTCACGTCCACAAGATCTACTGTTCGAAAGAGTGGCAGGAGCAGCCGCTTGGTGATCCTGCCAATCCCAGCGCCACAGTCCAGAGCACAACCTGTGCCAGTCTTACCCTGGCCTTCCTTAGAGGCAAAAAGGAAAATTAATAATATAACAATACATCAAACTGTACTTAAACAACCGTTTAAAAGACGTATAAATAAAATTCTGTGGAAAAAAAATCTCTTCCGCTCCCCAAGACGGCTGATTTAGCAGTAAATACAGTAATAGTAGTAATACTGTGCAATATTATTACATTTTAATCAACTTAATAAATACCTTAACACATTTCCTACTATAAAAAATACAACATTACTGACCCCAATTACTATGACTCACCCCAAGGAATTTCTGAAGAAACTTTTTTGAGCCGTTAATGTCAATACTGGAGATGCTGCCATAACCTCCCAGCATTCCATCCACAGTGGGCGGGACGTCCTTCCAGTAGTGCTCTGCCTTTGAGTAAAAGGACGTTTGGTCTTCTATCAAACAGTCTTCCATCTTTGTGCAACTCCTGGCCAAAGGGATCCAAAATAAGTACATTTACCACCACAAATCTAAAAAAGTTTTTTACATGTTGATTCAATGACATATTAAATGTAGCTTAGCAACTGTGCTTTTAAAAAATGTTCATTTCATATTTGAAAAAGATTAATAAAACGACAACCACCACTATTAAAACAAATTCTCTATAGACAAATTTAGGAAACCATTTACTACTAATTCTCTGGATATCATATTAATTGGAGTTTTGAGTAAAATTATTTGTAGTTTATTTGCTAAATTACAGATAAGGTGTTTTTACAGACGTTACAGTAGGTGAGGGGTCAATATAAAATATTTAATGTTGCCACACTGCAATAATGCTTTTCTTATTTTGTCTTGTCTTTCAGTCAAGTTACTTATGCATTTAGCATTAATGTACACTAAGTTATAAGTTCTCTCTTAATATACATATATGGTAATACGGTAATATGGTATACCGCGGGATCTAAAAATAGCAACGGTGTCAGTTCTAATACCGTTATACCGTCATAAAAACAATTTAATTAAGTAGGAGACAAGTATTAAATAATAAGTATTATTTATTTAATGCCAACAAATGAGTATGTGTGATTGTCATGACGGGACAGTGTGGAGGAGAGAGAGGTGAGGTAAGATTTCGAGTCACGCACCAAGTCACCTGCAGTGTGTGTGAGTGAGAGAGTTTGGTGCTGTGCATCTCTCTCGCGCTCTGTGTGTGTACCACGCAGATCTCTAATACGAACAAGACAAACAGGTGACAGTGAACCTCAGGTCGCCTTACGTCATATTTTTTATTATTATGTACGGTAATACTGGATATCGGGGTAAAATAGAGAGGAGGTTTGACGGTATCAAAATTTGGATACCGCCCAAGCCTAATATATATATATATATATATATATATATATATATATATATATATATATATATATATATATATATATATATACACAGAATCAAATCTTAATATATAAAAATTCTTAAATCAAGAAGCATTTTCTAGACAAACAAAATGTCAAAATAAGTGAGTTTTACCTTAAAACAAGCTGAATTATCTGCAAGGTGTAAGCAAAGTAATATTGTTGTTCTTTTTGACATTAGGTTATTGTGCTTATTCCATTGGCAGATTATTTTGCTTGTTATAAAGAAAAACTCACTTAATTTTGAAATATTAATTCTTAAAACAAGACATTATGTTTTGCTTGTTTAGAAGATGCTTATTGATTTAGGATTTTTTTAACTAAAAACAAGCCAAAAAATTTAAGAAAAACTCTTTTTTTCGCAGTAAAGACTTTAAATACTGAGAAAATTTGTATATAGATTAAGAGCAAAAAATCAAGGCAGCCTACATTAATGCTAAATGCATAAATAAATTGACTGAAAACTCAATAAAATCATGAAACTGCTATACTTCAGTATTACAGCTAAACTTTTCCCCTTTTATGAGACCAAAAGGCAGCTTTCACACGTTGTCAGTTTCACACCTGAGTTCAGCTGTCAGGATGCATCACTTGACAGTGGACTGACAGACAGATGACTGCTAAAATAAGCCAGTACAATGTATAATGGCCTTACAAAAATAGAAGATTGAGTTAATGTAGAATATATCGATATCCGCAGCGCTAAAGAGATCACAGTCAGACTAAAAAGCAGATTTATAGTGAGTAGAGCATTAAGCGGTTAAACAAAGATGAAAGAGCAGAGTTACATTTGTATCTATCTTAGCCTTCAGTTCCGTTAACGTACTTACTAGATTTACTCGGTCAAACACGCTCCTACACGTGGTCCTCCTGTCTTTGAAGGTGTCTTGTCCTGTTTCTATATTTGGTGTTGACAAAAGTTACACGTGTTGACACACGGCCAGCTCTAAATCACACGCGTCCACTGAGACTCTCTGCGCTCTTTATGTCTTCAGTCATTCAGACTATGAACACTGACCTACCTTTGCTTTCGTGCTCTCGCTGACTGCCGCTTCTTGCAATCGCTCATGTCACGACTAAACTGTCGAAGAACTGCCCCATGAACAATACTCCAGCTCCCCTACTTCCCAAAAGTAGCAGAAGCCCCACATCCCACGTCATTTCCTTATTTGACCGCCGTGTTTCCCCTCAGTGAGTTGTTTTTATTTTGTCTCCATCTTGTGGCCGCATTTCAAGTTGGGTGTGTAGCTCAATCAATTGTATTTGCATAGTGTTCTTGAATTGTATTAAATGCGGTGTTTTAAGCAATGGTATGGCTGCATAAAGGAGTTAATTTCACTATTAGTGATTTAAAGCCCTTTCTTAAATATTCAAAGATTATACCCATATTTAAAGAGCTAGTTGGTGTTTCCCAGAGATGGGTTGCAGCTGGAAGGGCATCCGCTGCCTAAAACATATGCTGGATAAGTTGGCGGTTCATTCTGCTGTGGCAACCCCAGATTAAAAAAGGGACTAAGACGAAAAAAAAAAAGAATGAATATTATTTTCTGACTCTTAATTGTATTAATTGTATTACTGATTTTAATTGTGGTAATTGTAAAGTATTCATTTAAAGGGCACCTATGAGGAAAATCATCATTTGTAAGCTGTTTGGACAGGACTGTGTGTAGGTATATTGTGTTCACGGTCATATTGGAGTGATAGAAACAAATAAGTCTCTTTTTTATTTCCTGACACTAAAATAGGATCTAAATCCTTCCCATTTTGAGGTCCACCGTAATGTAAGAGTGCGGTTTCCCCTCACAACGGATTGATTGACAGCTGCATATTTACATGTCTCCGTAGTAACGTGTATCATCAAACAGTATCAACAAGACAGGAGGTGCACAAAGCACCTGGGATTAAAAGATCTGTTCAGCTCTCTGTGATCATCAATCATCATCAAATGTGATCAAAAATGAGTTTTACAAGTTTAAAACATTTTTAAAACAGTGCATGTTTGTAATAAATTACAGCGATTTTACTGTCTTTACTTTATCACCACAGTCGCATGTCAACACAATTATAAAAGAAGACGCTTTAATCCCATTTTGAGGCTGTTAAATCAGGTTTGTTTTGTGCATTAACATAACGGATATCTATACAGAAGTGTTTACTAACGTGAATCCTGTCACATTTACCATGCAAAAACAGTGCAAAGCTAAACATGCGCCCTGTGTGTGTCTGTGTGTGCGTGTGTCAACTTTGTAACAACATTTTGTGTGACTCATCGCTGCAGAAAGGCTTGAATTAACTCCACAACAAATACATCAAATAATCATTGGGAAAGTTCCGACTATAGTATTTCTCACAAACGTTACGTGACATCTGCTTTCTTCATGTCTGTCACTGTGCTGTTTATCTTACGCAGCCGAGACGGAGGCTGAGGCACACTCTGACAGGCACGTGGGAACGGTGGGCGGGGAGAACTAGCATTAAAGGCACAGGCCACAAAAACAGCTACATTGTGTTCAGAGCAGAAAATCACATTATTCTGAAAGGTATAATAAATAATCTGATTAGTGTTTTGAGCTGAAACTTTACACACACATTCTGGAGACACAAAATACTTATCTTAAATCTTGAAAAGGGGTAAAATAGGTGCACTTTAAATTTAAAGGGACAGTTAACCCTAAAAATCAAAGTGGACTATCCCTTTGTATAATATTTACCCATGCATGAGCAATATTATTGTGCGCACACACACACACACACACACACACACACATATATATATAAAAAGGAAAATCTGGATATAGAAAAAACGAATAATAATTATATATTTACTCTATAATAATATATAATAACACAATATGCTCAGAACAAATGCAGTATAATCAGTTTTTAAAAATGTGACATTTAATGACACTAAGTAATATTATAGCACTTTTTTGTGTCAATAACTATACAAATATATTTTAGTAGAAACATATTTGTCCATCTTTGTATCAGAGATGCTACAGTGATATTTATGGAGATATAATTGATACTAGTGTTGAGTAACTGGTTAATTTATAGTGGTTATTTTCCCGATTGGTCTTTTTTGCCCTTTTAAAATTGTGTTCTTTATTACCCTCAAAAGTGTGCATATTAGTGCTTTAAAGCTACATATTTGTACATGTGCATAATAAAACCTAAACAGGCCACGTTTGGTAGCGCTTCAGCGACAGCTTTTGTGCAGTCTTTTCACTGTTCTCCGGTCACCATAACAAATGTTCATCTGAAAAGTACTTTCGATCCTGTATTTATTTTGTATTCCATCCAGCCTCTTGTTCTCCACTGCTGCTTTTTCTTTGGTCTCATCCCGTCTCTTATTTTCACTGCCTTCATTAGATGACAGCATGCTTTCTGTCTCGCCTGCTTATGGCCGTCTCTCCTCCCCCAGCGTTTCCGTGCTCTCCCCTGGGTAAGCGGCTCTGCTCATCCTCTCTCTGTCTGTGGTTCTCAGCCGATCTGGCAGGCTCTACAGATGATGAGTCAGTACACTGTCTGTCTGCAGCGGACAGCCTGAAGTCAGTCGATATTTAATCTGATCTGCTCTCTTTCACCCCATCTCCTTCTGTCTACTCCCTCTCTGGCTCCTGACACCTTTTACACTCTCATTAGAATTACAAAGAGGCTGGAGAAATGGAGCGGAAATCAACACTTCTGAAATGTCCTGAGTCAGCAGAGCCGGTGTTCGCTTCCCCTCACCTGTCTCTCTGCCTGTGGGTCTTTCTCCTTCTCTCTCTTTCTCTCTCCGTGTCATGCCCTCTTCCCGTTTCTCCTTTTAGATTCACCTCTTTTCCGCTGCTAAATGTGTTTGACAGCATACTCACCTATTTGACTCATTCTAGACTCATGATGTCTCATCAAAGGTCACTTTTCCAGTTTAAAGGCAAATTGCATTAATTAACCGTCAAAAAGGAATTATATGAGAGGAACAATGTTTGTGTATTTTAGTAATATAGGCTATATTTAATGCTATTTATTACATTTTAATTTAGGGCTGTCAAGGCAAGGCAAGTTTAAATATATAGCACATTTCATACGCAATGGTAATTCAAAGTGCTTTACATAAACAAGAATAAAAGATTAAAATAAAGATAAAAACATGGTTTAAATGGATTAAAACAGGTTAAAAAAAGGATAAAAGAGAAGAGAAAGACATAATGGTGCGATCTGTCAGACGTAGCACAGTGCTCATTTGGTAAAGGCACAGTTAAACAGATGTGTTATTAGTGTTGATTTGAATGTGCCTAATGTTGGTGCACATCTGATCATTTCTGGAACCTGATTCCAGCACAGGGGAGTGTAGTAGCTGAAGGCCGATTCACCCAGCTTTAACTGAACCTTTGGAATTTCTAATTTACTTGATTCTTACGATCTGAGTGATCTGTGTCACAATAAGGTCAGTGTTTATAACTGACATTGAATAAACCAGCGCCATGCTTGATATATTTAAAACATATGTTTTACATGTAACACATTAATAGCTCCAATTTAAATGAGCTTTACCTAAACATTTTAATTAGTTAGTAACAAGTAGTAATTTTATTTTCATTTCTATTTAGATTTAAATTATTATTCCAGATTAAGTTTTAAAATTCCTACTTATGTTAGCTGTTTCCTAAGATTCTTTTTACTTTTTATGTTATATATGCTGCTTGAAAGTTTGAACACCCCTTGCAGAATAAGAGAAAATGTGAATATTTTTAACCAAATAACAAAGATCATACATTTTTTTTATTTAGAACTGTATTAAGATATCTCAACAACAGATGTTTACACATATTTTACAAAAAAAAAAAAAAAAATGCTAAAAGTATTAAAATAGCCCCCTCCAAACATTTACGAACCCTTTCTATTTGATACTGTGTGTGACTACCTGGATAATCTACATTTTTTAGTTTTGAGATGGATTTTTCAATATTGAATAATTCACTGAATATTTTTATGCATTTCTCAGTAAATATGGATAATATATATTGATTCATCTGAACGAAACAGAAACATATATATTTATTAAAATAATATTTTAGTCACAAAACATCTTTAGAAATGTAAAGAAATACAATTAAATTCATGCAAAATATTGCAAAGAAAAATACAAACTAAAACTAAATATATATAAACTAAAAAAATTTAATAAAATTGTATATATTTTTTGTTTTTCTTGACTTTTGCTATTTTTGAAAATGTTATTTAATATTTTTCTATAACATATAAATTTGGGCTACTAATTTTTCAACCATTATTGTAAGTTATTTTGTTAGATAAGCTCCAGATTTGGTTCAGTACTGACTAAACTAATGTATATGCACAAATATAATATTGTAAAGCTTCCAATAGGAAATATTAATTTAAATGAGAGTTTTGTGGGGGGTGTAAAATGATTTAGACCTACAACACAATATTTCGGTAGATTTAAGACTTTTTAAGGCCTACAATTTTTACAAGATCTTGTTTTTGACCAAAACATTATTAAAATTGTTAACTGTTGCAAATTTTAAAATGTAATTAAAAGCACCATTTGTGTAGATAAGATACTGATATTATGATTTAAAACAGCTACAGATAAGTGTTACTGTGAGGACAAGCTAAAACTAGTAATAGAACTAAAATAAGGATCTAAACATGTAGCATGTAGTCATTTTACTCAGCAGTTGGTTATTGTTATATAATTATATCTAAAATATGCAATGCATGTTAAAATGCAATAGCAAACCTGCTCTAATATAATAAATATATTTATGCTTGCAGAATCTGTATAAGAGCACAGTTGTTGTTAACATAGTAATGCAAGCTTATGAAAATGGCAAACAGTATCATACATGTACCCATATACACTGAGCGCTATATAAAACACACAACAGACAAGAAACATATTTCATGGAGTGACATGGATGAACAAATGTTGACAGAATTTGCCTGTCAGGATGAACTGTTACCAAGAGTTTAATGAATATTACATCGTTTAAATAGCAGTCATTTGATGCTGTTTTGTATCTAAATTACACTCCTATGCACTGAATATGGCTATCAGTTACACAACAATGACAACAGTACTAGAATACAACTGAGACAAGCCCTAACAATAATGCAAACACAAGAAGTAGACAGAATAGCGTTGAATGTGGCA